GCTTGAGGAGTGTTTAAATGGCGCTGCCTGGGTCGCCTCAGAGCTAGGAAACGTTCAGTGGTCGTTGAAGGCCAGAGGAAGTGGTGCCGTCTCTGTGGGTGTCTGTTCGCAGAAGTAGTTTCAAAGGGAGGACAGTTCTGCCGCTCCATTTGTTCAGGCTAGTTCTCTTTTTTTTTTTTTTTTTTTGCTTTTGTTTGAATCGTATTTTCATTCAAATGAGGGATACTTGTTAAGGATGGGGCAGAATGTGCCAGTTTGCACTTGCTTCTGTAAAGGCAGCCAAAACCGTCCAGAAATGAGCTGCATGGAGAAGCTTGATGCAGTTTAGGTTGTGAGGAATTCCTGCTCCAGCTGGGTCTCAAGCCTCTGCAAACAAGGCTTCTTGTTTTGGCATCACAGTCAGGTGGAGATTAGCCCATAAAAGAGGAGAAAGGAGAAGTTCTGAAGGTCACTGTTTATGGTAATGTAGTATGTCCTCAAGAAGAATTTCTGTTCATATTTGTTTTTCAGTTTGCTTTTTTCTGGACAGCAATGATTTAAATTCTCATGTTAGTTTATGTAACATGGTTTTTAATTTATGTAACTTGTGTTTCTTTTCTGAAGTTGTAGTTTATGTGTTTCTAATGTCTAAATACTCTTAGACAAATACCTGAACAAAATCAGTCCTAATATATGGGGGCAGGGTGGTCATGCACTGCATTTTAAACCTTATCATCAGTGCTGATTTGGAAGGACAGCTTCTGTTATCTGTAGGGCTATTTGGGCATTGCAGAAAAGTAGTCTTTATTCAAATAACTTAATTTGCTTTTAAATTTCCAAGGCTCGGAGTTGTTAAGTAATGTTATATATATCTTTGATTTTTGCAAACCTGTGATTGGTTATACTTTAGTGTGTAGGTATGGCTTAATTTTGTTTGTTTCAGGGAAGTCACATTTTACATGCTGTATAAAACTTTGATTTCTCAGGAAATACAGAGTGCGGTTTTGGGGAATGGGACACCTGAAAACGATTTTCCTTTTTTTTCCATTAAAATATTCGATAGATATTCTGCTGTTTAATACTTTAGTAAGAGATCTCAAATCTGACTTGCATTTCTAGGTACATTTTAATTATCAGTTAAGATGGATATCCGAGGTGCTGTAGATGCTGCTGTCCCAACAAACATTATTGCTGCCAAAGCTGCTGAAGTTCGGGCAAACAAAGTAAACTGGCAGTCGTATCTCCAGTAAGTAAAAACTGACCACAATTTTTTTTTTCTTCCTTCCCTCTTAAGTGTTAGACTTTTTGTGATTTTGGGTTACATTGGAACATTAGGTTACAGTGCTGACAGAGACAGAACATTCTGTCTGAAAATATTTGGAAAAAGTCTACATTAAATGGAAATGTTGGGGAAAATTTTCTTATGACTTATTACAAGAAAGGGAACTGTACTTCTGCGAACTGAATGCTGTAATAACAAATAATACAAGTTTGCACAAATGTGTGGTAAGACTGTCCATTTTTTTCCTCATCATTCAAATACCATTCTCAATTTTATCATTGTTGGATGAGTACCGATGTAAGAAAAGTTTACAGTAAGAGTTGTCTTATATGTCGGTATGTTATCTCTATTGCTGAAGTGCCTTACAAATTGTATATTTGTGAATACAAATTGTACTAGCAAAACTCGGCTAGTAGTCCAGGAAAATAAGCTGCACCTCAACTAAAGGAAGAATAGTATTGGAGAGCAATTGAAACAAGTAAATTGAGGAGCCGGCTGAAAAAAAAAAAAGTCAGTGTGGGGAGAGCTGTGCTGCCATTTCAGGTAAGCTCAGAGTTTACTTTGGAAGGTACATAATGGTACTGTAAGTGAGAGAAATATTGTCCACAGCGCATATAGAGACAAGCTGAGGAAAACAGATTTGTGCATGAGGGTAGGGAACAGGAAGAAGAAACAGACTTTTACTGGTCCTCTGTACTCTGAAGTGAAATGCAGGATTCTTGCATCCCTGCATTCCTCATGACAAGTACCTATGAAGAATATTGGCAAAGTGCAAACTAATATTATCCCTTGAAGGTCTATGTATAATAGCAAATTACTTCAGTGTTAGTTGCTTTGTAACTGAAAGAGGAGAAATCTTGATGATTCTAGAGGTACAAACCACACTGCTTATGTTTTGTGATTATCAGTGTTACACCACTTTGCAAAAGATAGTTTTTTTTCAGATTGCTGTGGTACATAAATATATGCTATATATTAAAATAAGGTTGCAAAACTGTATGCATGCAAGCTGAGAAATGCTAACATGCTAGCACAGGGCAAAGTAGGTGGTCATTAATGAGATTCTATGTAGCTCAGTCTTGCCTATTCCATTCATTCAGTTGTGTTATTTTTTCTCTTTGTGATTGTATATCTACATAGTAAACTGGATTACAGAACTGATCTGCTGAAGAAACTTCCTTTTGCTAGGATATTTTTTCAGATATATCGGTTGCTTGTTCAGTTTGCAGTGTGACATTACAGTGGCTTTGCAGGCAAAAGAGTGAGGTCAGTGTGGTACCGTGACAGTGGCAGCTACCAAATATTTGTCAAACTATCTAAATGGCTTTTGCTGTTACTGTGTGCCCTGTTATCCATCTGATGGGAAGCCTGGGCAGCTGTTCCTGTGCTGTCCTAGTGGCAAGTGAACAGCTAGTTTGCAGTTATTCAGGATGGAAGTGGGAGTATAATTGTTCACTGTCAATCCAAGTGAAAATGGGATAATCTTTTTCACTGTGTCTATAGGGGTTCAGACTATGAGGCTGGTGAGATTCATCTGTTGCTTTTGTTAGTTTAGGGGATGGTTCTCTTTGGCAAGGAGTTGTATTTTGAATACATGTGTAGTATTAATTGCTTGACTGTGCTTTATATGGTCTACCGTTTATAATTTGCCTTCATCCTTGGGGTTCTCTCTCTCTAGTGCTGAATAAGGATGGGGGAGTTTTGTTTATTTGCCTGTCAGCAAATTTCTATGTAACCTCTTTTGACCAGGAGGCAGGGTTGATGGTTCTTTTTCAGATTCCAGATATAGAATTTGACTTTATTTTGTTCTGGAATGCATGAAAGAAGAACGTACTAGTTATTTCCTCTCTTTGATGGGTTAGCCAGGTTTTGGAGGCTAATGTAGTGCATCTGGCTAGTGTTTGTGATCCTATTGTGAGATTGTTCAAAGCATAGTGCCCTATGTATGTCAATGACAGTGTGTCCTGTTTGTTATTGCTCGGAAATAAATGTAAGCTTTGTGTTTTCTATTTACTGGTAACAGCCTGGCTGTCTGGCTAAGGTAGCTTCAAGGATGAACTTAAGTGGTGCCAGAGGGGTTGTGGAGCGTTGTGAAGATAACTGTAGTTCTTTGGCTGAGGAGTTTGCTTATCATTAATTATTGGAAAATATCAGCAGAACTTGTGGTGCTTCTAAAGAGGAAATAAAATTATACCTGGTTTTGGATATGTCTCTTTTACAATGGTGTGGTTTGGACATGATGATGTCTTTGAGGATCTGTTGAAAAGTCAGTACAGCTATATTGCTTCATTTCTGGAACAAAGCACATTATTAACGAGTGGAAACAGCTTGCTTCTGATGCACCTGGTAGAGGCAGGTCAGATGGTTTGTTCTGGTCTATAGAGTAGAAGGAAGATGGAGTGCTGATGATTTTGAAGGATGCTTCTCTTGCTTTCTTTTGAGCTCCTGTTCTGGCAGTCTGTGCATTTAGTATGGTAAGCTTGCATATAAATATATGAAGGCGTACTTCAAGTCTTCAGATGTTTTTCCATTAAAGGAACAATTTTTATGTTTGTTTTCCCTAAATTCACACATCAACTCAGGCATGACATAATTTGTGTTCCTTAAACTATAGATAGTATTTATGTAGTTGGAGTTAAAGAACTTCACAAGAAATTCTGATGGAATTTTTTTTTTTAATCTGGCTGTGATAGTTGTATGTGTATAAAGATGCTTTAAAGATTGCATCAATTGCAACAACATTGGAGCCTGGGTCACCACAGGAAGACATTTTGAAGTTCTCTTCTGCTCTCTGTTCTTCAGTGCAAAAGTAAAATGGCTTACTAACGGTGAGCCTCTAGTAGCCTGACTTCTCCTGTAGAATCCGTTCAAGCTAAAGATTAACTGGCATCTCAGAAGGTTATAACTGTAAACTAAATGTCGAACTGGGCTAACACACAACTGCTGACTTTTGATGTTTTCTGTGTATACTGTTGGCACAAATGTGAAATACTGATGTATTACAACTGTACATAGTACTGGTTTGCCACTGTGTTCACTGCTCTCTTCAAAATTAGGCTGTGGAAGAAGATTTTTTTTCTTTTAATGCCAAAATTTGCACTTTCTTTGTGTTGAATTCCAGCTCAGGTCTGTGTCTGAGGGAGAAGAAAATGGCAAAACTTGGAACAGCAGAAGGTGATGTGTAGGTCTAGCTACCTCTTGGAAGCTAGACATAGTTTAGGCAACTAGTTCTGTACAGACTTTCTTGCCTTTGGATCTTGAGACTTCTAGTAGTTCAGAGGTGTCGATGCCTTCTGTGAGTTGAAAATACAGTGCACTGCTGTTTTGTACTGTGTGATTGCTTTCAGTATTTGCTTCAGGGTGTCAGAATGCCTTTGGAGGGTGTTAGCTTTCCTGAAGCAAGTTTGGTTTTGCTTTCTAAGGGTAGTAAATGAGTTCTGTGGAAAAATGAACTTGTTTCGGAGTTTAACTTGCATCTTACTGCACTGTAGGTGTACAGCATTTTTAATCAGGTGAGATACCTGATGGCTAATTTGTACGTAGTTTCGCATGTGTCTTCAGGTACTTTACATACATGTTTGTCAATTCTGATGTTCAAATATCTATTTTAGTTTCCTGGGGGTGGGGGAACCTTCTAGAGTGGGTTAAAAATCTTGGACTTTTAGAACACAAATGTGGATAAATGGATAAAAGAAATTACGCCTTGATGTGGTAGCTTCATATGGGCTTCATATTTGCTCCAGTTGTAGTAAAAAATTGTTTTTTTTTATTTTTAAACACAGCACCCCCACCTCCAATGACTTGTTAAATCATTCAAACAAAAAAAGGAACAAGAGCTACTGGAGGAAATACATAATAAAAAGAACGAATCACAAGTTTATGAGTCATCTTGAGAGACCAAGAGATTTTAAAAATGGTGGTCTTACAAATTTATGCTTTCTAAATCTTACACGGCTTCAGTTTACTCTTCTGTAGCTAGTGCTCTCAAAGGCAGGCTTTAGTATCTCAAGCACAAAGCTTTAAAATATGGCTACAGGACTCGAGGTCTAAACCGATATACCCAGACAGCTGAAGCTCAGTCAAAGTGACTTTTTTCGGTTCACAAAAGACTGTGTAGACACATCCTGGAAAATAAGAAATTAAATGGCTGTTAGGAAGAGGGGTAGAGGGAGGTTTTCATTACTTGTATTGTTTGGTTAAAGGTACTGTGAAATTCCCGTCTCTCTGAAGAGGGGATGAGGAAAATGTGGTAATAGTATCATGGTAGCTAGTACAGCTGTCTGAGGCTGCTCTGCATTTTTCATGTTGGGGTTTTTTTTTTTCCACTAGTTGCTAAGGTTTACTAAATAATCAGTTATTTCAATTTTACCATGGGATGAATGGAAATGAATGCATTTGAAATTACTAAAACTATTAATCAAATGTATGAGATCTCTGATAAAATATTAATAACTTGTTTACAAAGCTGTCAAATCCTTTGAACTATTTTGTATGGGTTGGAAAGTATCTTTTTCAATGGTACTTACAAAGCAATAAAGAGTATACCCTAACTTCTTTTCCTTTCAAGGCAACATCAATCCCCACACCTTTTATTTCGCCTTTTTTCTTTTCTTCCTGTGGCCTAATGTAGGATGAAAGCAAAAGCGTGAAAGCTTTTTTTCCTTGACAGTTGGCAGACCTTCTTGTGATAACCTGGCTATAAACAAACATCTCTCTTTCTGAGCTGAAGCTTTTTTCAAGCAGTAAAGCTGAAAATTAAGGGTTTACCTTATGTTGTCTTTGAAGTGTGTCCTAAATGGCAATGCTCTTAACAAACACGCAGCTCATCTGGTTACTTGATATCGATATCATTGATACAGAGGAATCCCTGTCTTGGCCAACATTGATTGAAACATGAGAGGCTTCCAGTTACGGGTCGTTAAGTGCAGTATTTGTGGTGAATGAATTGTCCTCATCTTTCAACAACTACTCAAATCCACCCTTAACAGGACAGAAAGAACATAAGTCAATCTAAAAGGCATGTAGTAGCAGCATGGTCATCATTGCCTAATTACTTTTTCATCTATAATTAGTTAAGTTTTAGTAGGAACTAGTTGAGGACTACCACTGGCTTTGAGTGTTGCATCTAGTAACTCTTAATTGCCTTTCCTCAGTGCGCATGAGGATATTTATTACAGAGTAGCTAGAATACAGGAATTGTGTGCGTGGTACTGGTCTATTTATGTTCCTTGCTTGAAAAGTAAATCGCTAAAATATGGCTCTGTGATAAGGCCATCCTCAAGACATAACCGTTTAAGTAAGAGAAAAGACAAGAACACATTGTAGGTCTTATTTATGTTTCTATGTTTCAAAAATCCATGTGAGCCAATTAAAAAAAAAAAAAAAAAAAAAAAGAGAACATTTCCTGTAAGTTTACGAGGATTTTAATGGAACCTCTAGTCATGGAACATCTGGAAACTGACCCAGAACATGGAAAAGATGTATTAAAAGAATATGTGCTACATAGCTTTGCAAAGTGGAAGAGGCATTTGACTCAGTGGAAATGTAAGAGGAGATGAGTTTTGGCAATAACTGAAACAGAGCAACGTCTAATACTTGCATCCCCTGTGACTTTTATATTGATGATGAAATGCACAATTTTCTTCTTTCTTGAAGCACTCCTGATATTAACTAGTAAAGGTAGTCACCTATTAAAGTCCTGGATATTTTCAGGACTACTTGATTTAAAATTTTCTTACCTGAAGAGTGCCTGACTGTAGATTGTAATATTTTTACAAGTTTGTTATTTGTTGTGGTGGTAAGTTTCATATTATAACAAAACCCAACAATATTATGCCAGCTTTTCAGCTGAGTCAACACCTTTCGGAAATAGCACTGATGATGGCAGTAACCCCTTGAATATTAAGTTAAAGAGAAGATTAAGTAGAGATCTGTTAGCTTATAGGTGTCCACAGCTGTTTGCTATGTCAAGCCCCCTTGCTGTGTGTTTGGATGAACTTGCATGCATATCAGTTTTTAAACTACCAGGAAAAGCTGAAATGTTGTAATTAGTGAAAGCTAAAAATGCATTAGGAACCAAGTTATTTGTGCTCCTTAAAATTCTCTTCAGTGCTTATGTCAAGCTTAAAATAACAATTAATTTTATTTTTCAGCACTTATTTCAGGTTGGATTAGACTATTATTCATGTTATGTATTATAATTTCAGCATAATGTGCTAGTTGTGCCTATTTCAGTTCTTACAACTATTTCCACTGACCGTTGCATTCAGCTTCTGGAAGTTTAAGAATTATTTAGAGAATGCTGTTGAGCAGAGGTGAAGCATAAGGAAGGCCTTGGAAGGATTATTCTGTCATTAATTTTAAATTCTTTGTACATGAGACCTTTTGCAGAAAGGAGGTCCTTACATTCTACTGTGGGATATAGGATTGGTAAAGTCATACTATTGGGATATCAATTTGAAGAAAATAAGGTAGGTTTTGGGGGATTGACCTTGGCTGGCTGCTCGGGTGTGCACCAGACTGCTCTATTACTCCTCCTCCAGCAAAAGGACAGGAGAAAAAATACATCAAGAAGTTCTTGGGTTAAGATAAGGACAGGGAAGTCACTCTGCAATTACCATCATGGGCAAAACACTCTACTTGGGGAAAGTACATTAATTTATTGCTGATTAAACAGAGTAGGATAATGAGAAAGAAGAACAAATATAAAAAGCACTTTCCCCCCACCCTTCCTTTCTTCTCAGACTTTCACTCTGAACTTCTCTAACTCCTCACCCTGAGTGGCTCAGGGGGACAGGGAATGGGGGCTGCAATCAGTTCATAATGCTTCCTTTCTGCTACTCCTTCCTCCTCATGCTTTTCCCCTGCTCCAGCACAGGGTCCCGCCCACAGGTTACAGTCCTCCATGGACTGCACCAGTGTGGGTCCTTTCCAATGGGGTACAGTCCTTCAGGAATGGATTGCTCCAGTATAGGTCACCCCATGGGGTCACAGGTCCTGCAAGAAAACTTGCTCCAGCATGGGCTGCTCTCCATGAGGTCACAGGTCCTGCCAGGAGCCTGCTCTAGTGTGGGCTTTCCATGGGCTGCAGCTTCCTTTAGGGCATACCTACCTGCTGCGGCATGGGGTCCTCCATGGGCAGGTGGAGATCTGCTCCAGCATGGAGCTCCATGGGCTGCAGCGGCACAGTCGGCCTCACCATGGTCTTCACCACAGACTGCAGGGGAATCTCTACTCTAGCGCCTGGAGCACCTCCTGCTGCTCCTTCTGCACTGACCTGGGGGTCTGCAGAGTTGTCACTCTCATATTCTCACTCCTCTCTACTGTCTGCAACTGCACAGCAGTTTTTCCCCTTCTTAAATATGCTCTCCCAGAGACACTACCACTGTCTTTGAGGGGCTCAGCTTTGGCCAGTGGCACGTCCGTCCTGGAGCTGCTGGAACAGACTCTGTCTGACATGCGGGCTGCTTCTGCTGTCTTCTCATACAAGCTGCCCCTGCAGCCCTCTTGCTACCCAAGTTTTGCCACATAAACTGTTAATGTTGCTTATGGTTTCATATTTTGCTTTTCAGAGGGCAGATGATTTCAGGTGAAGACTGTGAATTTATTCAAAGATTTGAACAGAAAAGAAATCCAGAAGAAAAACAGGAGTTGTTGCAAACAGAAGGCAATCAAGTAACTTTCTTTTAATAATCTAACTTTTGGGGAGGAGGATGGAAGGACATTTTCATACCGACTCTTATTTTATTGTTTGCTGTATACAGTTAAGATGTTACGGAAGAAGTATAAAACTTGCTATTATTATTTTTTTTTTTTCCTAGATACAGGTTGGACTTTCTTTTAAAAACCTATTAAATAATTATTAAATGTCAACTGACTTTGACTCTGCTGTGGGACAAGCTAGCTCAAGTCTTTCCTTATCCCAGTTTACTTAATCATGCGCACTTGTACTTGAGTCACCTTTTTTTGAGCCTTTTTCATAGAGCTATAGAATAGTTTGGGTTGGAAGGGACCTTTAAAGGTCATTTAGTCCAACCTGCCAACAATGAGCAGGGACATCTTCAACTAGATCAGGTTGCTCGGAGCCATGTCCAACCTGACCTGGAATGTTTCCAGGGATGGGGCATCTACCACCTCTCGGGGCAACCTCTGCCACCGTTTCACCACCCTCACTGTGAAAAATTTCTCCTTATGTCTAGTCTAAATCTACCCTCTTTTAGTTTAAAACCATTACCCCTTGTCCTGTCGGTACAGGCCTTGGTAAAAAGCCTGTCCACATCTTTCTGATAAGCCCCCTTTAAGTCCTGGCAGGCTGCAATAAGGTCTCCCTGGAGCCTTCTCTTCTCCAGGCTGGGCAACCCCAACTCTCTCAACCTTTCTCCACAGGGGAGGTGTTCCATGATCCCTCTGATCGTTTTGGTGGCCCTCTTCTGGACCTGCTCCAGCAGGTCCAGGTCTTTCCTGTTCTGAGGGCTCCAGAGCTGGATGCAGGACACCAGGTGGGGTCTCACTAGAGTAGAGCAGAGTAGAGGGGCAGAATCACCTCCCACGACTTGATGGTTTTATAGTTTATTGATGGAAGCTACTACTAGTGAGATTTCAGCTTAGCTAGCTGAGTAATTATAATATACTTGGGTCCACTGACTGCTAAGATGGGTTCAGTTAAACACAGGTGTCTAGTGTAATTTTTTAGGCACAGTAAGATAGGAGATATCTGCATGGGACAGAGCTGTTATAAGGTTGATAGGTGACCCATGCCATTTGGCTTATGGAGTCCAGGCAGGATGCCCAAAGATGCTTTAATGATACTTGAAGCAGTAGAATCTCAGCCTTGAAGCCTGAGGTTCTAGCAGACAGTGTCAGGTATCAAGAGGATTGGGTGAGGTAGGGGGGAAGGTGAAGAGTAGGAGATATGCTTAACACACAAAACTTTCCAGCCCTTTTTTCTACTTTAATTTTAGGCTGTTCTGTTTTTCCTTTTCTTTCCTTTTTTTTACCCCAAATTGTATGGGCTGACTGCTGTGTAATGGACCATAATTTGCATCATGGCAAAAGCATATATGGTGAGCATTATATGCCACTATATAATTACAGTGTAACAGTTCAGAGTTCCATTTTTCTTTCAGTTTTAGTTGACCGTGGTGAAGGGGAAGGAGGGAATGTAAAAAGTAGTGTTGTGACTGTTTCAGCCTATTATTTCTGTTGCTGAAATAGTAGAGTAGAGCTGTTCAGGAGGCAGAAAACAGCTCAAATAGGAATGAAGATTCGTCTAGAAGGTATAGGAAGTGAACAGGTAAGAGTGACCTGTCTTCCCTCCCATTCAAGTTGCTGAAGCTTTCTTAAACCATGTCTAAGTTTGTTGCTGTTTTGTCAATTTACTTGGTTTTTCTCCCCACTGCCATAAAAAAGGGTGCTGGTGGAGATTTTTCTAGAGTCTTTCAACAAAGCATCTTGCTGACTTCCACTAGTGAGTACTTGTTATTTCATTTGAAAGCCATAAAATGATTTGTAAAGCGTAATGATCAATGTGACAGAAAACTTTCTTTGTAATATAATGTCAAATGTATTCATCTCTTATTGCAGTTGAATAAGATGTTGGGATGCTCAATGCTTATGTAAGACTTAACTGTGAATTAATGAGGTCCTGTTTTATATTAACAAAAGGAATGAAGACAATTGCTAATACTAATTTTAACGTCTGTCTTATTTTTCTAGTGCGCTAAAACATTTATAAACTTGATGACTCATATCTCCAAGGAACAGACGGTTCAGTACATTCTGACTATGGTTGATGATATGCTGCAAGTAGGTCAATAACCTGTCTTATTTTTAAGTATTTGAATGCATGCTTGAATGTTTCCTTAGCCTAATTCAGATCTCTTCAGGTGTTTGTCATACTGTATTTAAAATATTCTTTTAAATTTTCAGATCTTGTCTTCAGAAGTTAAATGTTAGAACTAAAGTTGTATGGGAGACTTAATCTTGTATATATTCATGTTCTGAAAATAAAACATACCTGTATCCTTTTATGTTGGCTCTCAATTGTTTGATGCAAAACTTGGTTGTTAAGGTATGATTTGCGACCTCAGCCCTTTCGTGTTGTGTAGATAGGATATGACTTCAAGTTGTTGAAGCTTTTCCTACAAAGGTATTAATTTGGCCACCCTCAGCAAGAAGGTATAGCTTCTGCAGCTTCAGGTTTCCAACATAAATTAGACTGTTTAGGACAACATGTTCTGAAATTCTCCATGGTTTGATTATAAAACAGGAACTTTTGATTCAATGAAATATGTAGCGCTCTGTAGCTATGCGATAGAGTGACTTACAAGGGTAGGCTGTTAAATTTGGTGTCAGGACTGCTGTGCTGACCTGGACAAGTCAGCAGGAGACTTTACTCAATCAGATAATCCCGCTTTTGCATTTCTTCACTCTCTCGTAGACTAAGAGAAAGTGGTTGGAGTGATGATGTAACAAGATGGGTTCAGTTGTGTGAGGTTTCTCGTGGTGTTCACATAGGATGTCTGGTTGACAGTTTCTCTGCTGCTGTTTTATGTTATATTTAGTGCAAGGTTGCAGTGAAACGTGACTAGTGATAGCTTAATGGTTTAGAGCGTTGCCCGAGGAGGTGAACCATGTGACTTCTAATTCAGTATTGTGAACAGCCAAGTTGAAAAGTGTGAACCTCTCCACAGTGTGTATAACATTGGAATTATGGTGTTCTTGCAGGTGCCTGTGTGCACATTAGAGCCCGAAGTGAGTGCCCTGGCTGCTAGAATAATAGCTAGTGGTGGTGGTGACAGTTTATTCATGCCCATCTGCAGCTTTGTTACTCTGACCTTCTCTTTTCTTTAGATTTACTCTTTCTCAACTGTGACATAAATATCAAGAAGTAGAGAACACAAAAGGGACCCTCTGTTATTCTGTGATTAGGACTCTGAGTTGGGAGGACCTTGTTGTGGTTTATGCATTTGATGACAAACTTTATCTTAGTGTGCGAGAACACTGTTTATTATGGCCACTTTTGTGAAGAGTGGGTCTTGTTTTCTATGTGAGGCGTGCTGGTGGCCACAGAAATAATAATTTCACTTTCCCTTCTTTGGAACTTTTTGTGAGTGTTAGTAGGTCTTGTTTTGCTTGTGCGCTTTGACATTAGCACATAGCCTGTAGCTACAGTATGTGATAGCCGGTATCGTCTCCTGTGCTGTGAAATTAATACCCCACAGGTAAAGACTTTCACTGGCCCACTCTTGAACAATTACATTAGTTCTAGGTGGTCACAGAAAGTGGTTTTGAGTAATCTCTCATTTGCTATACTGGTTCTGTCATATATGTCTAGATGAACATATTTTCTTGACTTCATGGTCATGCACCGACACTTCTGTATTCGGGGCCTTACCCTGCCACAGAAGTGGCATGTGTGGAATTCTTCATGTTAAACGTGATGACTTTAAATTGGCCAGGCTTTATAGTGATACAGGAGAATAGAGATGTTGGTGCACAGTATATATTTTCTTTTGTGTGAAATTGGATGCCTTTTTCACTTTAAAAATTCTGCTTCAGTGTCTGAAAGGCTGCACTGGCTTTTGCAATGCTCTGTGTCAGTTCATTATTCAGGGATATCTGGCTGCTGGCATAGAGTGTTTGTGTGCAGGCGTCTGCATGGCATCATCTCAGGGCTTCCTAACCCTCCATGTCTCCACTAGGCAAGGCTGAAGCAGGACTTCTGTTTTCTTTTAGTCATGTTCAGATGGTAGAACCTGTTGTCACCGATGCCTTATGGACCCTTGGTTGTACATTTTCAAGGTGTAAGAGTCTTGTCAGAAAGCAGCGTATTGGCCATTGACTCTGTGACCCTGAGTTTAGTGCAGGGTCTCTGCAGACTGCATGGACAGAAGAATCCGTGGCAGTGGATATGAAGTCCCCTGTCTTTGCCTGAGTATTCTTAATTCAGAATGTGTGAAGATTTTAAGTGAGAAGTTGTTGAAGGACATGGCCTGTCATGGTGCCACTGACTCCTTCAGTAGAATTGTTTTGAGTGAGGATGTTCGCTGCAGTTCCATGAAATGAACAAATATGACAGCTACCTTTGATAGCTGAAACTTCTAGAAACTATTGTAGGTAACAGTGGCCAGCTTTTGTCCGCATTGATAATGACTGTCTGTGGTTCTTCTATTATCTTTCTATGCTTCTCTTGTGAGGTTGTAAAAATCATACCAGTTGTATTTTGAGCACACACAAAGCTTACCAGGGATTGTCTAGGATTGTTCCAGCAGTTCTACTTATGGGTTTGATCATTGTTCTGAGAAAGATTTCTTTTGGAGGCTGCCAGGAGTAAAATTAATGTAGTGATTGCTTTATAAGAATATCACCATTCTGCTTATTTCTGAAGGTGGAGAGTGTTAGCATACTGGAATCCCTGAGGAAAGATTTCTTATTCATATGATAAATACTTGGAACAGTTTCTTGGGGTTAGTGACCCCATCATACTACACAGTCTGTTACTTGTGAAACCTGTAAGAACCTGCAAGGTAGTTGGTGCAGGTAGCAGTATCACCCAAGCGAGCTTCATTATGCTTCTTTGGAAATGACAGATGCTAAATTATTCAACTGTTCATGTCAGAGCTTCATGATTTCCATTTTATCGGTGTAGTCAGTAGCTGCTGGGGAAGGTGCGGCACTATGTATTTCAGGGCTGCAGGCAGTTCTCCACTCCTTCCCTCCTGTCTTTACTATGCATCTCAACAGCAAACCAGACTAGTCTTCTGATTGACAGCATGTTGAAGTTATTTCAGCCGTTCTGCTTTCAGACCTGTCTGTCTCCTCCTTAGTTATTTTGTAAACTGAACTCGTTGATCTAGGTTTTTTTGATCTTTTTAGCTAGACTCTGTGTAGCACAAGTGTAGAAGATGACAGTGATTTATTTGATCGAACTGCCATTTTTCATCAAACTAGACCTCACAGAGCAGACACTCTCCACCAAGGCACTGTGTTCCCGAGATCTTACTTTTTTATATTTTATTTCATAGTTTGAACAACACATTTTGAGAGGATTTTTGAGTGCTTTTTGACAGATGCTATATAGTGCATTAATCACTGTTAGGGTTATGACTGTCAGATAACTAGTGACATCTGACCTTCCCCAGTCAGTGATCAGGACAGCAATTTGCAGCCCCTGTGGTGCAGTAACTTTGATACTTTCAATGAAGTGTTGGTTACTCTGATGCTTAGTAAGATGCCAGTGTTTGGATCATGGAGACCTTCAGGTTGTCTTGTGCTTAACAGGTCAGATTCAAACAAGCAGGCTTGCCTGGCTGATTCTTGGTCCGTAGAGTTAATAATAGGGTGCTGAACTGATGGAGGAAAGCCCTTCAGCTAGGGGAGTTTGAAAATTGAATTCATTGGTTAGTGGAGACTGAGATACTGTTCTCAGTGCGAGTTTCCCAATTACATGGTTTCAAACAGTTTTGCGAGTTTTATACTTTGTTGTAGTGGCTTGACTCAATGGGGAGACATCTCTTCAGAATGAAAGCTTACTATCCACCAGGCTAGAAAGTATGTGGAAATGGTGGGAAAAAGCAAGAATCCACGTATTTGATTTTCTGGAAGACTGCCTATATTCTAAGCTATTAGGAAACAGCAGAGCTCCTCTTTCTTCAGGTTTGCATAGTCTTTTCTCTGGTCTGCTTTAAGGAGAACCTTAATAGCCGCTTTTCACAGCAGTTACTAGGTGAAATGCTTGAAGAAACTGTGCACGGTCCCCAGGTTCAGGTACTTGGGGTCTCTTGTGGCTCAGTCTAGAAGCCCTGGAGAGCAGATTTCCAGTGACTAAGTCCTCTCCTAGCTATGCAGGTTGCCTGAGATAACAGCTGAACCAGTTGCAGCCTTATCGGGGAGGGAAGAGCTTGCTTCCCATTGAGAGGAATGGAGAGGCAGGACTAGCTTACGTCTCCAAAGTTTCACTTGTAGTACACGCAGACAAGTTGAACAACAGGCTTTTGTGTGGAAGTAGCAATATGTGGGAAACTTTGTATGGACTTTATTCAAGCATAACTGATTGGATGAGGAGTAGTGTTCCTCTGGAAAATGACAGTATTGAGCTAGTCTCTCATTTCTCTCATTCTGCTTGCTTGATCAAAAGGATACATCCATTTTTACTCAAGCAGGTGTTGATGTACTGAGATATAACTAGGGTTTCAAAGCTTGTTTCCCCCTGACCCAAAACTAACTTTAATGTTGGAGTGTTGAAATGAACTGTATCCACAAGTAACTGTCAAAATGAAAAATTTACATGGGCTGTTACAAGCCAGGATGTACTCTGATAATGTATGCCAACACAATGAGGAGCAAATAATTGCTTTATGTTGAATGCTTTTGCAAGTCTCTCATCTTTTCCCTTCTCCCAATTTTTACAGGAAGATCATCAGCGTGTTTGTATCTTCTTTGATTATGCAAAACGTGGTAAAAACACTGCATGGTCCTATTTTCTGCCGATGTTAAATCGACAAGATCTTTTCACTGTGCATATGGTAAGTTTTAAATGAACCTGTCTCTGAAGATGGTAGAGAAAAATGCTGGGTTTATTTTTCTTTAGGAGATTTTGGGGTTTGAAGCTAAACTACTGCCTGGACTGGAAAGTTTTCCTTTTGCAGTCTAGATGAGTCATTCTTAATACAAGCTTTACCTGACCACATTTTAGAAAGGAAACTTACATTGTTTATTGACATTGTTTTTTCTGGGAGATTAGAGCAGGTTTTAAAGGCTCAGAAGAGCATGGATTGTAGAATTAATTAAGCACGGTAAGACATATCGAGAAAAATAACTTTTGTAACAACAGCCAGTCAATGCTCCTCATGCCTTACAAATATTAGAATTTAAGTTCTCATCCTGTGAAAGGGAAATATCTTTACCTTGATGAACCTTATTCTCTCTTATAATGCCATTTGAAATCCACTTAAAATGGTTTGTAAGCATACTGGGGAAGAAGTAATGTCTGCTGATGTGGTGGGTTGACCCTGTCTGACAAGAAAGCTCCCACCTACTTGCTTGCACAGTCCCCCACAGCAGGATTGGGGAGAGAATCAGGAGAGGAAACTCATGGGTCAAGATAAAGACAGTTTAATAAGTGAAGGGGAAAAAAGGGAGGAGGAGTGGAACGCAAAACAAATCCAATAAAAGGAAGTGATGTAAAAGCAGTCACACAACACCAGCAGACTGATGCCCAGCTGGTATATCTCTGGTCAACTGTCCAGGCTGTGTCCCCTCCCAGCCTCTTGGTCCTCTCACCCAGCCTGCTCACTGGGAGTGTAGAGTGAGAAACAGAGATGATGTTTGGCAAGCACGGCTTAGCAACAGCTGAAACATTGGTATGGTATCAACACTGTTTTGGTCACCAGTCTAAACCACAGCATCATATGGACTGCTATGAAGAAAATTAAGTCCATGCCAGCCAAGCCCAGTACAACCATGTGCATTGTATGGTATCTCCTGTGCTTTGAGCCATTGGGTGCTGCTGGTGTATATGGAGTAACTTTTCCGGAATTAATATTCTTCTGTTATCTGTGGTAAGAACTGGCCATTTCATCTCAGCAGTTTTCTTTCTTGTGGAGGAAAAATCTGTTTGTATTACTGTAAATTCCTAATGGAGACCATAGTTTTCACTAATAAAAGTTGTATTATGGCTTGAAGAGCCTGCATGGCTATGAACTGTTCTTCACTGCATATCTTTATGCTGGCATGGTATGGTAGAATCAAATCAGTGGCTCAAGCTATAAAACCACATAACTGGCCTGCATTATGCTTACGGTGGCAGTACGGGCACAAGGAATTCCAGGGAGGTCATGGTGTTTGCCCTTAGGTGTGGCCAGTGCAGCTATGTTGGGGCTGTGCTGCCACTTGAACAGTGAGCTGGCCTGTTTTCAAGGCAAATGTCAGGCTTGATATATTCCGCCCCCCCCCGCCCCCCTTTCACTGGTTCACTGCATGGCTATGTAACTGGGTTACTTGGTGCAGCTGAAGGAGGAGGCTTTTGGGGGTTTTGATTGTGGCTGGTTTTTATGTTCTGTTTCTTTTTGGTTTTGGTTTTTTGTTTGTTTCTGATTTTTGGTGGTATTGCTGCTGAAGACCCATCTTGCAAAACTGCAGTTTGAGGTAACTCAGACAATATTGACTTCTCAAATATGCAGGAAAAGTGTAACTTTTAGACCCTTGAAATGCAAACTAATTAATCACCCTGGAATGGTGGCTTTCAAATGTATAGTATAGAAATTTCTATGTCTAGTATTTCTCTGTGTTATTCCGATATGGTTTTCTTTATATACTGCAAAAATACACAAATCACTTTACAAGTCAGATAACCTCATGTGATGTGAATCCACTTTAAAACACTGTTTGCTCCCTTACTATGCCTTTTAGTACTCTTTGTGCAGATATTTTTTTTTAAAGCACATGGATGTTCTCAAAACAAAGTTTTAGGTTTGTGGTGTTTTTGTTGGGGTTTTTTGGGTTGTGGTTTTGTTTTTTGTTTTCTTGGGTTTTTTTCCCCCCTCTTTACTATGCACATTGGAAGACTTGATGCCACATCATTGCATCTCCATAGACAGACAAAAATTTGAGTCTGTCCCCTATGTCCAGGCTCAAATTCTGCTGGGCATGAAAGGTCTCTCATTCAGGGGCCAGGCAGCAGTTTTAACTCAGGAGCATGGTAAGCTAGAAATCTAATATCTCATGTTTTAAAGCTGAAGGCTTTTTACAGGGTTACTTGGCTGCATCCATATGAAGTGGGTTTGGCACACTTCAGTGTAGAGATTGTTGTTCCAGACTCTCACTCATAATCCCTTTAGAAATCAGTAGTGGTGGTGGTGCTGCATGTCTGAATGCAGTGTAAGTGGAAAGGTGCCTGGAATGATGTCCTCACTGCACCATGGAGCTATACGCAGGCAGACAAACCCCTACTTCAGTAGTTTCTTGGTTAGACTCGCTCTTTATATGTAAGCTGTCTCAAATGTTTCTGCAAATAAGTTGCAGGCTGCAATGTAGAGTTACTTCAAACATAATTTGGAAAGGCTGTCCTAGAAATATACTCTTGTTACATGTATACTTGTGCCATAGGCATCATGAAAATTCTTAACCTGACTACATTTTTACTCCTCAACTTCATTCTTAAATTCTACCTTCCCTTTTGGTTTTCTGCTCTTCTTTTCCTGGGCTTGAAACATCTTCTTTCTTGAAGATGACTTGCTTCAGTTTAAGTACAAAAAACTTTAATACTTTGCAGTCATTTGTGTTGCCATATGCTGTAGCTGCCTCAAGTAGCCCCGCTCATATATTTTTTAGGCCATTAAGTGACTTACTGTTGATGGATTTCTGACTGTAATGGTGTCCTACAGCACTAGCCCATCGATAGCTCCTTTCCACCCTCTTCTGAGTTGTTTGTTGGTGCCTTGTGAACTTTTATCAGCTACAAGTATCTGATAACAGTGTGAAAATACACCAGTTGCTAGGAAGTAGAAGCAGAAGAAAGGTGAAGAAGCAAAATTACTAGGCATGAAGAGTTTCCTACATAGAAAACAGGTAGATTTCTGTAAGGGGACATCTTTCACCTAAACTTGGTTTCCAGAGCTTCTGTAAGGATTCACAGAATCTTACTGAATCAAAAAAGAAGAAAAGCTCCTCACTGAATCCTGAAAGTGTTGTGTTTGAAAAATCTGTTTATTGCATTCTTTTTCAGGCAGCAAGAATTATTGCCAAACTGGCTGCGTGGGGGAGGGAACTTATGGAAGGCAGTGACTTGAATTACTATTTCAACTGGATTAAAACTCAGCTCAGTTCACAGGTAAAAAGCTACTTCTGTTTCAACATTAATGTGACTTTGGAAATTTTTTTTAAGAATATGAATATATAGATGTGCAAACGAGGTATATTTTTGGTTTTCTTTTTTTAAAATGAAATTTTACTTTGTCATTTTTAAACCTAAATACCCTTAATTAAAACACATAGTTTTTAACTTAATATTTTATCATTTCTTCTGTAGTCCTTGAAATGTAAATTAAAAGTAAAAAATAAAGGGTTTTTGCCTTTTCTGTTGGTTAACATTGTGATTTTTCTTCTGGATGCTGAGAAAACATGTGATGAGGTTTTTTTGTGGGGAAAAAAGTCCTTTTTCCAGTTTACTGCAGTACAAAGCTTTTAATTTTAGTTCTGTCTCTTGAAACACAAAATAAATCCTGACTTATTTGGACAGTATTTTTATGGCATTAGCTCACTACAGACTGCTTACTGCTGGCTTGTCCTTCAAAGATGAATCGTTCTCCTTTGTATTCATCTTTGGAGATTTTCCCTTCAATCCTTATCAAAACCCAGTGATTTGTCATTCGCTAAGGTAATGTTGTAGTAGAAGTGGATTCTGGAGAGCAGAGAAGCATTCAGTAGATTTAGTAACAGTGTATTTTTCATAGTTTTCCAAACTGGGTTTATTAAAAAAGAGTTTTAATTTTTTCCCTGGAAGAAGAATCTTAAAGTTGGAATTTCCTTCAGAAAGATTCAAGAGAACAGTTTTCAAATTCTAAGATGAAGATGGATAAAAGTCTTGAGTAAATCCACACTTAAATAAATCTTGATATATCAAGATCAGCTCCACGCATATTCTTCTAGACATGATGTGGTGTGTGTGTGGGGGAAATAAATACAATATATTATCATAGTATATTAAGCATGAAAAGTATCTAATACATTCTTAATCTTTTCTTTTTATGACTAGATAGATGGGAGAATTGAAAGAAACCTGGGAAAAACTGTTCTGTAAGGGTGAAGGACAGCTCTGATTTTAAGATTTCATTTTTTTTCCAGAAACTACGTGGTACAGCGGGTTCTATGGAAGCAGGAGCAGTCTCCACAAGTGATGTGAGTATGTCTTTGAACTCTGCCAATTGCTGTTTTGGGCAAGTGCTATCCACTCCTCTGATTAAGGTGCAGAGCTGTTCTGGTGTCAGTAACAGAAAGTAGTTGGACTCAGAACTGTATGACAACAGAGTGCCAGGTGATGGCGCCAAGAAACAAAAGTATTTTTGAAACACTGATTTCACAGAAAATGCTGGCAGTGGAAGTATGTATTTTACCAGTTGGTTTGGGTTGTTAAAACTATAGATGTATCTAGCATTCTCTTTGTTAAAACTTGAAAAAATTATATGCGATTAATTTAATATTTGAACAATAGTTCTGTTTAGCATTGAACTATTGGACTTGTAGAAGAAACCTGAGACTACGAAGCTTTTGGCTCTTCTGATATGCAGAACTTAGGGCACGTCAAATATTAAAGCTAATTGCCCCTCAACCTCTGTAACGTGAAATTACAAGAGTGCTTTCAAAGCTGTAAGCTTTTCATATTTGAATAGCTTGAATTCAGGGGGAAATGGATTGTCCTTTTCATATCAGTATTTATCTATACTGAATTTTATGTAGCTATAATGGCTGTTGAGCTTGGAGATGAAGTGCGGCAGTATAGCAAACGCAAGTGATCATCATAACTGGATTTTCTGTTTTGTTGTGGCACAACGGGGTGGTTTATCATAGCTTTTGAATATGGAGTAGTATTCAGTTTGGTCTTTTGTTCCTTTTGCAACCTGAAAGTGTTCACAGTTTTCAGAAGACTTACACAGGAACCTGGAATTTGTTTTTCTTCTAAATGTAGTCATAGCTTTAAAGCACTAACTTCCTGTAGAGAAAAGCCTCTTAAATTACCACCAGACTAGGGTTTAAAATAGAAAAGATAAAAGGCTGTTACGCATGGCCATGGATAAGGAGTAAAATTATGGCCTGAGCATAGAAATTGAGTATTTCGGTATTTCATGTATGGTTCTGTGTACCATACTGTTAGTTTTTGTTAGGCTGACAGCCTTCAGTCATACAGCCTTAAAAGAGTAAATAGTTCTGCAGCACGCAACACCACTCATTGTGGAGCTGTGAGCTCTTCTAACCTGCTTAGAAATCTGTGTTGATTGTGCTGTTATCACTGCATGGATGTACCGTACCACTGCAGGGTCCCAAAACACCAGAACTGATAGGGCAAATATGTTCTAGGATGATTAAGTTGGGTAAGTATTGTCTTGACTTCATTAGTGTTCTGATTTCAGATCTGGCTTGTGCAGGATTTCCAAGCAGATCCTGACTAATTTATTTCAGAGTAAATTAGAGATGCAGCTGTAACATTTTATACAGGAAATGAGGGATCTATTGTGAAATTTCATTTATAACAGTGTTGGAAGAGAATGCTTTTATGACAGACACTTTAAAAAGAAAATTGCAAGTTCAGTAATACACAGGTTGTAAATTAATACATTATTTGGAGCGGGAGGACTGCCTGTGTGTTTATAGCTGTTTTATTTGCATGGTGTGTGAGAGTGAATACCTACACAGGGAAATGAATGTTCTGTATGATGATTTGGGCCTAGATGTTTGGACTCAGTTTTTACATAAGGTCTTAATCTCTGATGAGACACACAGAAATTAATTAATCTTTATTTTAAATTCTGTTTATTGTCTCTTTTCTCTTCAAATGGGATTGCCTAATTTTTTTTTTTAAATATTTGAAAGGTTTGACCTTGTATTATGCAAGTGATCTACCGTAAAACTTTCAAGACATTTAGTAAAAAACCAAGGCTTATAGGAAAAACAACCCCAACATTTTGTCAGCAGCATATCTGAGTATTAGTGAAGATAATGCCAGAAGTTGAGCAAGAAGAGAGGGAAAAAAAGCAACTTCTGTTGTACCGTGGGATCTTTCTGTTGCTGTACTGGGAAGGACAATGTGTTGACCAAAACCCATTTTTGAACTGGAGCCTAGCCCATCTTATGTGTTACTGCACAGAAAATATATGATTTTCGAGATGAAAAGCTGTTTAATGATTCTTTGTGACTGTTCATATAGGTGTCTGAATGAAAATAGAATTCGGTGGTGCATCTCTCAGTGCTTTCCTGATGTGAAAGTCTTATTCTTACTGTTATTTTCTTAGCACAGTATACTGTGCTAAGCTTTTAATGAAGAGAAGAAAAAAAGTAAACCTAAGCTTTGAGGATGATTTTGCATACTTAGTTTTCTAATGGTATATTTTGTGTAAATATACATCTCATTATGATAAGCACAGTAGTTACTGTGTGGCACATGCATAGGAAAACACACAATTCTCATGACACCACTGCTGTTTTTAGTTGGAGAATGGGAGTGGGAAGAACCTGAACTCAAGATTCCTTTTTCTATAATGACCTCTAGCAAACTTCTTCAAGCCTGGTAACCAGGTTGCTGATTTATTTCCCAAAGTTTGCTCAATGGAATAACAATTGACCCTGTGGGTGAAAAGGCTCTGGCAGTATAATCAAACAGAAGACAGCCTTCATTCATAGATGCTGAAATAAGACATGTTCAAATGGGTTATAAAAATCTATTGTGGTAATGTAAAATGGTAACATTTGGATAATGTTTCTTTCCTGTTCAAAACTCTTCTTTGTTTATATTTTGCTTCCTACCTTGTGAGATTTTTTTTCTTTTTTTTAAGTGAGATTTAAATAGGGGGATGTAAAGCATTGTAAGGGTGACCCTGTTTAACTCAGAAGTGTTGCTGAAGAAATGTGTGTTGAAGTGTGCCGGTAAAGCCTAGTTTGGAAAACTGAACTTCAGCACTTCCTACCTAACTCTTCTTGTAAGAAGTGATGTGTTCTTTTCACCTAGAGTTCCCAGTATGTACAATGTGTTGCTGGATGTCTGCAGCTGATGCTCAGGGTCAACGAATATCGCTTTGCATGGGTAGAAGCAGATGGAGTAAATTGGTGAGCGTTTATTTCAATTTATACAGATATATTTGCACTCACAATAGCATGTTCCCCAGTGACCTCTTCTGGAGTAGAACTCTCTTGCAAAAGACAGCTGCCCTGTTTGAGTACAAAACCTATTTGTTTTCTAACATTAATACAGTCAAATAGACAAATTAAACTTGCAGATATAGGTACCAATGTTGAGGCTTTAATGGCACTTTACTCTTCATGAAGAACAGCTTAAATAAATATCTGAAGGGGAATACAGTCATTTATCTCTAGTGGAAGATGCTCTTTTTTATTTAATAGAACAAGGACTAACAAAATGAGTTTCTGCTAATCTTCTTTGTCCTTCAGTTCGGAGTTGTTCAGTCTGGAAATATTAGTGAAGAGGGTAACATGTTCTAGAGCTAAACTTAATTTTTTATTTCCACATATGGCTTCAAGTGGGTCATTCTTTTATCTAGATTCTCTTCATAAATAGCTCTGCATGAGGCTAGGATGTAGTCACTTACCTGATTTAAAAATGCCTGTCTACAAATAACTTTTCTGCCATGCATGCCTCTCTTGGGGATGGTGACTATACAATTTGAACTTTTAAGAAAAAATACGCCTATACTCAGAAATGGAGAAAAGTCAAAGTGCCAGTGAAGTGAAAGTTCAAAAGGTATTCATGTGTGTCAAGATGACACTACTTGAAACAAACCTTTTCACCAAGGAAGCTGTTCAATAAACTATTAAGGCATTAGGATAACCCTGCGTTTCAACAAGTTTGAATTTGTCTTAATTTTCATAGCAATGGTCTTGAAAATAAGTTGGTTGATTTTTGTTTTTTGTTGTTTTTTTTTTTTTTTTTTAAATTGGGTTAGCTTTTTTGGAATGGACTTGTAAATTCCTTATTAAATTTTCAAACCTTGAGCCTAACAAAGCCTCTGCATGATTTCTTCTTGGAGATCTTGTGATACAATTTCTTCTTAAGCAGTGCTTTGTATATCTGTGATGTTATATCTATAAGCTGTTTTCTGAGAACTTGTTAAATAATGGCTACTTCAGCTCATTTTGGACACTCCTGTGGAGAGATACAATTAAGGAAATAAGTTCAATTTATGTAGATTTTTTTTTCTGTCTGTTTACTCTTTCTTTTTCTTAACTCTGATGGAGTAGCTATGTCCTTCTCTGTTTCTCCTAGAGTGACAGATAATGCTCTAAACATGCCAGTAGAAAAAGAATCTCAGTGAACCTGAAGATGGATACAGTACATCAGTTCACATGGGCAAAGCTTCTTTCTGGCTGTGAGGCTAAGGAGGAAATAACTGTTTCTTTAAAAGATGGCTTTCCGAACAAGCTGCTTGTGTAACGATAAATACTGATGCAGGATACTGTGAAGCGTGTGTTGTATACTCATCTTCAGCAGCTCTCTCCAATAAGTTCTTGTTAATAATGTCTGTAAATGGTTCAGGGTGGAGCAATGGAATCTATGCAGTCATTATTTAAAAATCAAATGTATACTGTGTTAATTTTTTCAGTATCATGGGGGTCTTGAGCAACAAATGTGGCTTTCAGCTCCAGTATCAGATGATTTTCTGTGTGTGGCTGCTGGCATTTAGCCCTCAAATGTGTGAATATCTCCGTCGGTATAATATTGTTCCGGTGCTGTCAGATATTCTGCAGGAGTCTGTCAAAGAGAAGGTGACTAGAATCATCCTTGCAGCATTTCGGGTAAGTGTCTGCTGACTGCAATTGCACTGTGCTTCACTCTTAAATGAGTAGAATGAGTAGGTCTCAGATGCTGCTGATGCACAGCTGTTTCTGCTAGACCATATCAGTAAGCTGGATTGAAAGCTTAATTCTTTTTTTTTTTTCTTCTGAGTATTGCTACAGGTAATAGGCATGCTGTTACAGATAACAAACATCTGCAATCCAGCGTCGTCTTAAGATAAGGTTGACTAAAAAGCCCCGTGTTAACACAGGTGCTAGTGATTTCCCTTCTTTAACTCAAGATATTTTTTTTTTCTACTGGTATTAGTGTAAAACACTATAGTTACTAATACCTGATAAATTTTGTCTTTACACAGCTTTCATAAAAAAATATTATTTTAAACATGCATCTGCTTGTCCAACTGACTGCCTTGGAAATTATTTTTATCTACTAGTCCAAAAAATCTTTTCTTGGTGGCTCTGTCAAGATGAATGAGGATATCTGTATAAGAGTTATTAGTTGACTTATGGTGTCCCTGTTACCTGAAAATCACTGGTCCTGTTTAAGATAATTTGGAATAACTAAGCACCAAGACTTGCTGTTTTCATTGTGAGAGTACCAATTTGTGTTTACAGATGCTAACTGTGCATGCGCACACAGTTTCACATGCATGCTTGTCAAGTCTCCTGTATGTAATACAGGAGTGCTATAACAATTTGTAATCCTGTTTCAAAACAGTATTTGTATCCTGACTAGGATAGATCTTGGAAACTACTTATTTCCTGGGTAGTGATTGTGTTCCACTACTAGGTCTTGCAAGTAAATTACGATGGAGAGAGGAGAATTGCTGCTTACTGACTTACTGATCAGCAATAACGAGCTGTGTAAAGACGCTTACTCTGTGACTTAAATGGTCTCTCTTCAGAGCAGCAGAAGCTTTTGGATAAAATTTCTGGGTAAGGTAGATCGTAAGAATATGCTATTCATCCTGTTGAAGGAGGTCAGTGGCATGAGGTATTTAGTAGGGCCTATTCTTACTATGTAGACCTCTGTAGGTGTTCTAGTAGTCTTTATGCTCAAGCAGGGATGTACAGCAAGACAGCTTGGGAAAAACAAAAAGTTGAGGGGCTCAAAAATTTATATTCAACTTCTTCCAATTCTGAGGTCATAAAAAGTAGGAGAAATAATTGCTAGTTCTTAGGTTTAGTGTGATTTGAAAAAGGAGGCAAAAACCAAGACAAGTTCTTTTGATAAATAAAGGCTAAGAAAGAAAAAGATGGTTCTATTACAGGCTTTGGGGAAATTAACTTACCTATTTTCTTTCTCCAACATCAAAGACTAGTGTTGGCATGAAAATGAGGTTATAAAGTTGCAGCCAGGAAATAATAGATTAGAAATTAGACACGAGAGTTGTGAGTTCTGAAGCAAAATTAAAATAGATAGCAGAGGCAAAATATCCCTTTTCCTGTGTGACAGGCCACAGTATCAGTTTATGCAAAAAAAAAAAAAAAAAAAAAAAAGTGAATTGCATAAAGTACTAGGCTTGATGATTCCCCAGATCATCCCTACTGCCCTGTGTATTGCTGAAGGTACCCCATGAGTCTTGACAACTTGCATACGTCTTGTCTACTACCTGATTTCTCCTTATTTGACGTGCATCACCTCTTTAGCAAGTTAATTGCATGGAGTATGTAGATGTAATGTAATTTTTTTCTATAAAGCAACAGTTATTGGGTAATTCTGTCTACTTTGAATCAATTACTTTCTTTACTTATTAATTTTTCATATGTTGTTTTTTGTCTGTTTCCTACCTGTAACTCATTTTGTACCTTAAGATTTTTTTTTTAATCACTGAAGAGTTTACTGATCCATTCTATTTAGTCATGTGTTCTTGTTTGTACTTTCCTAACATATCCTTTCAATTTCACTATAAAAAGCTTGAATGCCTCACTATGATATGAAATAGGTAATAATATTTGGAGTAGCTTCCACATCTGCCTATAATTCTCTTAACTAGGAGTTCTTTGGAAACTTTATTTACCTGCTCCTTGAACTTGTTGAATTTTGTCTTATAAGATTCATTATTTGTTCTTTTGCTCTCATTAGCACTTTTAACTCTAAGTAATTTAGCATTACTTGCTGTAAATTACCTGTTACTTCTCAGTTCTCTTACTGAAATAGAAACGAGGTTTTTTTGCACGTTAAAGCTAATTGTATGTGGCCGTTAAAAGTGGTAATGTAACTTACATTCAATATGCAAGTTTTAACATTTATTTGTAGTGTTCTGCCTTACTAACTAATATGATATTTTAGAAACCTTAAGTGTAATGGCTCTTTAATATGAATGAGAATGATGCAGTCACATTCCTTCTGTATGGTTTCTGGTAGCTCTTAAGGTTTATTTATATGAACACATCTTCTGTTTGTTAAGAACTTTGTCTTTTATATGGAATTCATGTTTTCAGCTTTATCAAAAAGTGCAGGTGGCTAGCTCTGAACAACATAATTTGAAGCTGATTAAATTGAGTAGAAATGTAATGAATAAATGACATTGGAACTTGACTATTAGATTCTGTGCTTGTAATTCCAGTTTTACCAACAAGCTTCTGTTTGAATAAAAATGTCTTGTTGGAATATTCCCAAATTCAAAAGAAGCTGATCTACTCCAGGTGGTAACTCTTGAGTTGGAAAGATGACTTCAGGGTTTTTTTTGTGGTCCTTTTTTAAGGCTTTCCTGCTTTATGCTATTGCTGCACAGAAAGCTAAAATGATAATCCCAGATAAAAGTAGTTGTTTATAGCAGAGACTCTGGGATTTGGCATATAAGCCTGCCCTTTTTTTTTTAAATTGTCTTTGTAGTCAGCCTGATTTGATGTGGAAAATTATGAAAGTAGATGAATGAATGCTTTCTAATATTGAAGGTAGCATATCACCTAGGAGGAAAAAGGTCTAAGTGACCTAAACTGGAATACAGTGCTGGTTGTGTTTTTCAGCACATATGGTTGCATTACTTCTACCTTGCAAGACAGAGGTAGGTTTGTTGTGGTTGTTTTTTTTTTTTTTTTAAGTTTCTTTTAATCTGCTGACAGATATGAATATTCCTTCTGTGTAGTAAGGTCAGTGCTAGGCAATTTATGCTACTAAATGTAGGTGTAAAGCATCCACTGTGTGGTAGACTCATACTTTACTTCCTTGGAGAGATTATTTTGGGAAGTGGTCAGTTCTGTCACCTACTAAATTGAAAAGTGCCAATATGAATTTCTTAAAAATACCACTTTGTTTCAAAATAATCAGTTCTTAAAACAAACAAATTTTTACTTCCTTAGAATTTATTAGAGAAATCAACTGAGAGAGAAACTCGCCAAGAATATGCTCTTGCCATGATTCAGTGTAAAGTTTTAAAGCAGCTAGAGAATTTGGATCAGCAGAAATATGATGATGAAGACATAAGTGAAGATATCAAATTTCTACTGGACAAGCTTGGTGAGAGTGTGCAAGACCTTAGGTATGCTTTGCATTGTGAACCTTTAAAAAAATGCAATTATACTAACACTGGTAAAACCTTTTTTCTTTTTTAAGGCTAAATAATATACAGAATTGTGATACGTAAATGCTAGTTGATAAAGTAGAGCTTACAGAGATGCTGGTTATACATAAAATTTTCTAAGTGAGTAATTACAGACTGAATAGAAGATAAATTTCACTTTTGGGTATGTGATCTTCGTAACTGATAAATTGTTGAAGGATTTCAGAGGGTTCTTACAGGAGCTGCAGTCTAGGATGAAGACTGTCTGATTAGAATATGTTTTACTCTCCAGACTAACTCAAGTTTTTGCTAGTGTTTACCTAGCTCTTGCTCTTGTGCATAAATTGAACTGCACATTGGAGTTCATGTCAAAGGTTTGAACTGGATGAAAGGCAAGGACTGGATCCTTGGTTGGGGAAGTTAAAACCTAGAAAACAGGCAAAAAAGTCAATTAAATTCCCAAATGCTGTGGTTGTGTCACTTGGGTTTTTCCTCCTCCTCCCCCTCCCCCCCCCCTTCCAGAAATTGTATTTTGGGGTAGATGGAGGGGTAGGTTTGAAATAAAATTTTTCTCTTGAGTTTCATGCCTTTCCTTATTTTTGAAGTGTTGAACTCTGAGGCAGGGAACAGTTCTCATGCTCTGCAGAGAGGTGACTTCCAAAAGTGTCATAGCAAGTTGTGCTCCAGCTTTGTCTTGCTAGGGGCAGGCTTGGGCATGCAGTTCAAGCTCTGTTCATAGAAGCTTAACCAATATTTCATTTAGGTTTTTTGTGTTGCAGCTCCTTCGATGAGTACAGTTCTGAGCTCAAGTCAGGAAGACTGGAGTGGAGTCCTGTACACAAGTCTGAGAAATTTTGGCGGGAGAATGCTGTAAGACTAAATGAGAAGAATTATGAACTACTTAAGTAAGTTTTCAAGTCTTGAATCACATAATTCTTTAATCTGTGTTTAACTGAACCTGTACCTAATAGAGGTTTTACATTTCAACACAAAGTAACATCTGGAATGAAAACAAGTCAGAACATCTTGCTATTTTTTGAATGAGGTCCTTACTTAGGTATCATTCATTTTGTTCAAAAGCAGAATTGTTTATTTGCTTTGACTGGTCAAAATGTATTGCTTATGATAATAGAGGGATTATCTCTAGCTTAACTTGCATGCAAATTTGTGCCATTGACTCTTAGTGCTTTCACTTGAAAAACAGCTATACTAATTGATGTAATTAAAAGTGTTTTACCATACCTTAGTCTTAGTTTTACGTTGTGTGTTTTCATTGATCTGAGTAATGAAGTCCTTTCTTAAATACTTGTGGGTTGAAAGTTGTAGTACTGTTCCATGGAAAATCTGACTTGCTGCATTATGTTGCAGTCTGTCTATTTTACCTTGGGACTGTGTTTGGTGTATGTATATTATTAGATGAAGTGAAGCTGGAGCTCATCTTTCCTTTTGGCGTCAAGGACTTATTTGCTGGCTTCTGAACGTATGTACTCAAAAGATGTCTAGGTCTTAAATAGCTTCTAGAGCTCTTAGTTGTTTAACTGCATTGTCATTAACTGATAATAAGTGGTGTTCTTCCTGTTCAGTATTTGCTAACAAGTGACAGACCTAGCAGAAATCAGAAGGTCGAGTGGAACATGTGAGATGTTAGAAGGCATGCTGATCTCAGAGCAAGCTAATCTGAGCTTTATGTGCATATCAGTCTGCCCTGAAACATCACCAAAATAAGCCTGATAGGTTCCTCCCTGAGGCCGTTTTGCTAAATGTGTAGAATTATAGACTTAAAAATTTTAGATGCTGCCAACAGCAACATGAGGTTGATGTTGAGGCTTAATATTTCCTGTAGCAATTGCAATGTCTTGCTGTACTCATCTCTCCTGGTTCTGGGACTGTTAGGTAAATTTGTTGTGTTTGTGCTGCCACAAAGACAGTGATCTACAATAGTTCCTTTAAAAAAAACAACCAACCAACCCTAAACCCAACCAACCAAACTCCACAAAAAACAAGCCACTCCCCCTCCAATATGATATGAGGCACCTCAGAACTCATCTTTTGTGTTGTAAGGCATTTAACAGACAATCCTTTCTTTGCTTCAAGCCACATAATTTTATTTTCCCTTATCTGCCAGCTTACTTGTTTTCTAACTCTAGTATACTTGAGTTTACTGTTAAACACACTTTTTTTCCCTGCCTTCTGCCATTAATGACTTCTTAACCAAGTGATGCTGGACAACAATATTTTATGGATCTTCAGGGTCTTCTGATTAGCATGGTGGTTCAAGTTTCTGCTCCTACTTCTTGTCCAAATAAGGAGTTTTTTTTAAAAAGAAAAGTGTTTCATCTTTCACTTTCTGGCCTTTGGGGAGGCAGTGGCTGTGGTAATTTAATCTTACCAGAATGTTATTTTTTTAATTCCAATAGAATTTTTAACCTACCGATTTCAACTTGTTACTAACTTTCTGTGATTAGAACACATTTGTCATCTTGCTAAGCATAAATGAATCTAATTTTCTAGTGATCTGTATGTTTAACATTTTAAACTTGCTATGAGTGCCTAACCTTCGTATCTGTGTCATTATTTCCCCCTCCTCATTACTGGCTAGAGAATAGAGTTACTGGTAGCTGTTTTCCACTAAAATTGATTGAACAACTGAATTAAAAAAAGCAGACAAGATTAAGAGTTGAGAAACTTTTCTAATTCTTACAATTTGGTATTTCTATTCATGCTAACAAAATAACTAATATATGGAATTGGAGTCAATTACAGGGTATAGCTTTCATCATTTCTGTCTTTGAGCTAGGACAGAACTGCTTTTTAAATCAGTTGACTGAACAAGTGATGTTTTTGAAATGAAGTTGATGGACTTGAACCGAGAGAAATTCACAGTTGCACAGAATTGCTGCTTTGTTCTCAACTGCTAGGATGCCTTTTAATTTTTAAATGGCTCTGTATAACAGTGTTCTGCATAAAAATCTTCCCTTTTTGTCCTAGCCTGCATTGAGCAAGGCTACTGTTGTAAGGTGACGGGAGGAATAGAGTTGGGGAAAGGCTGATAGACAGCGAGCTTGTCATACCTGCCTTGCCGTGTCATGAGCAATTTGGCTGTATCACTTTCTGAACCCATAGTGCAGGAGCTGGGAACAGCATGCAAATACGACTGGAGTCTGTTGTGTAACAGAGGTAGCACCATTTATTGGCCTTGCGTAGGCTTTGTGTTTGTATCCCACCGCTGTCCCAGTCTATAAATATTTATGTATTTGGTTAGTACAGCTTATCTTGATCTCAAAACTATTGGTCTTGAAATCACTGTATAAAAAAAGAAGATACTTTGAAAACCTCGATTATAGGTATTTGTAAATGTGGCTCACTAAACTCACTCTAGTGAATGCTTTCAGTAATTCCGTTAACTGGGGCAGGATTTCCATTGTTTTAAGTGCAACTGCATGTTATGGAAAACGTTCTGTTCTAGCTTTGGTGTTTGGGTGACTTGTAAAGCATTTTTACAGTTAACAGGCTTAGTTATTTTAAGTTAGTGATTTAAAAAAACAACATCGAAGAAAACCACAAACAAAAAAACCCTACAACCCCCAAACCAAAACCTGGGACTTGATTGTTTCAAATCTTTTCCTAGAATCCTGACAAAACTTCTGGAGGTTTCTGATGACCCACAAGTGCTGGCTGTAGCTGCTCATGATGTGGGAGAATATGTACGACATTATCCCCGTGGGAAACGGTAAGAAAAATGTCAATATGTTGTTACATATTATTTATTTATTTATAAATAAATTTATTTTGCCTGTGGCTTTTTTGCTTATTTATATTAAAATATGCTATATAGGGATTGCAGGTTATGCTTAAGTTTAATTCACTGGGAAGGTGAGAAAACACAAACTAGATCAGATGAGAAAATACAGTCTAGATCTTTGACTTAATATATTTCAGTGTCTCTTAACAGTGAAGGGAACCGGTGTCTAAAGAAGTCTTGAATAAGTTGTTTAGACTAAAGCAGAAGACATGCACCAGAATAAATTAGGAGAGCTACCGAGAATTTAAGCCACGTATCATTTTTACCCTGTATTATGACTATTGGACTTACAGCAGGGATAGACTGTTTCAACAATGATTAAGTCTATTTTGTCACCTAAGATGAGGTCACATCTTAGACAAGATTTTTCTCACAAACAATTGATACTGTAATTTCAGTGATGCTAGCACAGATTCAGTTATCACTCTTCTATTTTAGCATGTTTTCTTTTACAAATACACATTTCCATGAAAATGTTGATATTTATTGTAAACCTGAGCTCTTGTCAAAATATACAGACAGTCATTTGTCGGAGTGGGAAGGCGAAACCGGAGTAATGATGAGTCCCAATGTGGGTATGGTCATTCTCGTTTATTATAGCAGAATGCACAGCTTTTATAGGTTAACACACGGTCCACGCGCTGGACATTATTCCCCATTTGCCACAAGCAGCTGATCACACGCTCAAGTCTAATTGTTGATTGGTAACTGTCATTTTACATGTAGTCCCATAGACCACCCATTCCCTGATCTTGCAGTTTCTAGTTTCTTCTAAGTTGCTTATCACAGTATGAAGCTCCTTATTGTTCATGTATCAAAGACAGTTCGCTAGCTCAAGGTTCTTGCCCAGTCATCGGTTTCAGTAACAAAGCCAGGGTTGTTCAAGTCGATATAATCATGGCCTCATTCCGACAGCCAGGCTTCCACAATTCCTTTTACATGTTTTATTATGGGAGGCACTGTTTCTCCTTCTGCTAGATGCAAATAATTTAACACATATAAGGCTTTATTCAAACGTTCTTGGGGTGGTGTGGTAGCCGTCATTGCTATATTTTCTTGTTTTGTTTTGTTTTAAAAACCTGTGAGTAAAGATGTTTGCTGAATAATTGCATCTCTAAGGTGAAGAGACCACTGAAGCAGAAAGGGGCCATTGGTTTCTGCAGGAATCATGCTCATCAGTCACCCAAAGGGATGTGTGACTTAATTTTTGTAGCAAAGAAGTGGACTGTTTCTGGTTTCTGCAGAGGGTTTAATGGGGAAGGTAGAATGGTCTTCTAGGCTTGTTGGGACTTTCATGAACAGTTCTTGTGCAGAACGCCATCTTGATGGTAGTAGAGTCATGAGCAACAGACTGAAACTTCATGCCATATATATGCTAGAAAGATTTGTTCACTCTAGAAAAACTCACAGCCCTTGTAGTCATGTAAGCAACTCGAACTGGAGATATTTTTAGATTATTGGAACAAATTAACTGTTTTCTAGGTCCGCTAAAAAAGGTCAGAAGTGTTCAGTGTGTACTACTTGTACTGAGCAGTACTGTGTGTTTGCTAATTAGTTCCTGTGTCTTCCAAAAGAGATTTTTGACAACTGGTATTTTGAGGGGAGGCAAGATATCCTCCAGCAAGGTGAAACTCATACGGCTGCCTGCAAGTGGCAAAGCTGAAGGACTAACACTGGTTGCTCCTGCTTTGAGCTGCCCTTTGTCTGAAACCATTTTATTAGGCATTTGCTGTAATCTATAAACAGCTTGCACCCATCTACCCAAATGTGGCATAATGCTTGGGCTAGTATGGCCATGCAGTTGCTGTACCAAAGCTATGAAGCCATCTGAGTGGATAAACAGGACCTGTATCTTTCTGTCTGTAGTTAGGAAAATGTACTGCTGGTGGGACTCTGCTCAACTCCCAGGCTGTTAAACCTATTCAGAAGTGCATCAGCCTTCAAAAGGAGTGGTCATCAGCAAATAAGAAGTGCCCTAGATACTATTCTAACCAACATTCTTCTATCAAATTCTAATACTTTTATCTGCTTTCTGCTTATGGACTTGGCTTATTTAGCTTTCTGTTCTTATGGACAAACTAAAATGCCTCAATCTTTCTTCTAAAGAGTTTCCTTGTAATCTAGTGTATTCTTACTAAGTGTGGCTTCAGCAATTTTAGGACTAAATGCTTAAAATACCTAAGGACTGTGTGCCAGTTCTCACGTAATAGCCCATTTCTTACCATGATATTTTTTCATATATAGTCGTTTACTGCTCCCACGCCTGGTTCGCATTTCACACTCTCATTGCATGACTCACTTTGAGAATGGATGCTATTCGTTGGTTTAGAAGAATAATAGAATTCATATGTCTTAAATACTTTTGTTTCCTTTAAGTGTTTATCCTCAACTCTTAACTGGATTGTCCTTCAGCCTTTGAAGGTTGCAGAAGCGAATTAGAACCTAAAACTTCTTGAGTTTACCCGCTGCGTACAGCGGATTTACAGTTCTGGCTAACCTTTCCCTTTGTATGACAAAAGGAAATGTTTGTTAAACTAAATACTATGTTTTTGCTTGGCTGTTCTCTAATGGTGTCAGCTTAAACAATTTTAACTTGCCTTAAAATTGCACATTGTGGACCAAGTTCTCAAGGCAATAGCACTGTGGGCTTCTAACAAGCTCACCAACGTGCATTTTCTGACAATATAACAGCAGAAATAAAGTATGGCATTGGTGTTTCCTGTCACTGAAAATAAATGCAGGCTAAACATCAGTCTCCAACAAGTCTACAACTTACATGTGGCCCAAGGGTTATTGCTACATAAGATCAACACTTTCAATCACCTGAATGCCATGAACATGGGCTTTGCTTTGCATGTACAAGAGATTGATACCTAGAGCCATTCTCTTCTTTAGCTCACAATTCAGAAACAGCTTAATTGCATTCCCTTTTTCACTTTGATCTGCTTTTAGATATGTAGGATGGATTTTATGACTATTTTCTGCTATAATGATCTAAACTGTTTTTATTTGTCATGTTCTGTTTTCTTTTTCTCCCTCGGAAATGGGTCATGTTAAAATCTGCTTGTCAGCATCTAGGAACTTTTTTTGAATTGCCACTGTTTTGGCTTAGTGCATTGTTATTATGGGGAATAGTCCCTACAGAAGATGTGTGTGTACCATAACTGGCCCACTGGGCTCTATTACGGCTGTAAGGTAAGCAGAAGCTGAGGGGAGGGAAAACAGAACAAGTAGTCTTTTGAGCAGGTTTGGAACTTGAAGGAATGGGATTCACTGTGAACCTTCCTCACCATTGCTTACTTTTTGGCCTAAAACTGGCTTGGAAGTAATTTGTACCAGTAGGCAGCATTATGCAAGAACAGTAATGCTATTCTTTGACTCTTCATATTCTCAGCCATAATTTCAGTGATGTACTGTCATCTGAAATACTCTATTTCCATTTGTGATTATAGGATTTTAACTTTTCGTTTTGTTTCTTGAGTGCTGCTAGCGTAAGGAAGCTTTTGAGTTTAATGCCTTTTTTACATCCTTACAATTCCTGAAAATTCAGTGTTTAAGTCAGTCCTGTAATTCTTGGGGAGGATTTTCCAGCTTAAAACAATTGCACTTTTTGAATGCATTCCTGTTGTATGAAACATCCTTGTATGTTTTAATACTGTTGGGAAATAATATTCCCTGTGGTCTCCAGGATGGTTTTGACTGAGTTATAAAATGAAACGGGAATTTCTGTTTTTCATCTCCACGCTATGTCCTAATACTGTTCTGCAGTTTACAAAAACATGCTGTGTTGTGCAGCAGTAATGCACTAATTTGACCATCAAAAGAACAGTAATAAAAGCAGCTAATGCAAGCTTAGAATGGCAGGATAGCATCAGGTTAAGAATAATATGAACAATAGCCGCTTCACAAGATATTATGTGTAACTACTCAGTGACCTGTGAGAGAACTGTTGTAAAAAAAAATATGCAAGTTAGTGAGTAATCAGTTCATATATTCCTTGCAAATTCTCTCCAAACTTTCTTTGTTATGACAGACCAAGATGCTGCATGTAGTGTCATCTGGATGGTGATACTTTTTTCAGCTCTTAAAATGTGCATTGCCTTCCAGTTTTTTTTTAAGAAATGATATATTCATGACATTCAAGGTTTCATCAGTATTTCATGTGGGATTTGGTATAGCTATTAAAAAGCTATGGCTCACTACTACGGTGAAGTTTGTAGTGAAAGATGCAGCTCAAACACTGGTTTTCTGGAAGTGGTAATTTAGCAGCCAGTTCTGCATCTTGTGCAAGAATAGCCGGGGCTCTAGTACAGTTTGAATGGCAAAAAAGCACGATAAGGAGTACGAAGTGGCTGGTTTAATAGGTGTTGGTGTGATTTTTTTTTTTTTTTCTTTTCAATTAGTCAGTGCTGCACCGGATTGGGGCTTCATTCTTGCAAAAAATGAAGTAATCTGCTTATCATCAATTTATGGAGGGGAGGGCACTACCTCCTCCTAAATAATAATTGATAGTGCTGTACCCTGCCAACCCTCTCAAGCCAATATTGAGTTCTTTAGCAAGCTGGGTAAAGCAAATAAGCCTCTCTGAAAAGGGCTCCTTCCTTGATTGTTGTTCGTTTCAAATTATGGAAGTAGGTAGTGGGTAGCAAACAGAGCAAACAGTCCAGTTCAAACGCTTTCTGATGTTGTGAATGCTTATTAAAAAAAATTAAAAGTTCAGTTGGTAGTATGAGATCTTCATTTGTAACATGTCAGATGTATATGCTAGGAAAGAAATATGTTTAATGAAATAAATATTATGTGACTAAAACTTAACCTCTCTTAATGCCTTGAACGTGAAGTGGTTGGATAGGATAGCTACCCCGAAGCTGAAGTAATGTCAAAAAACCTGCTCCCCTCCTCTCTTTCAGAGTGATTGAACAACTTGGTGGTAAACAGCTGGTAATGAACCACATGCATCATGAAGACCAGCAAGTTCGTTACAATGCACTACTGGCTGTGCAGAAGCTGATGGTCCATAACTGGTATGTGAAGATTATTTAACATACTACTAACAGTAAGAAATACTGGGCTGTGGAGAGAGGATTCAAGACAGTAGATTTCTTTAAAGGGGAATAACATTTTAATGTAGTAAGATTGCAGTTCTTAAATGATAGTGATATGATGCTGATGTGTAAGGTCTTAGCTAGTTTTTCTGTATATTTTTTGTTGCAGTTGAATTGAGTAGCTTGACCTTACATGATTGAATGTCACCAGTAATTCGCTCAAACAATATATTTTAACTTATATGAGCTGCTTAATATTTAACACAAGCTGTAATTTAGGCTTGCAAAACTACAGTCTTCAAGATGTTAAGTATGTGTGTAGGTATTTTAGCAAGCTTACTTAATCTCAGCTAAAGGAATCAGTAGCTTGATGTAGTTATAGAAGTTGATGTTTCAAGTATTTAATGGGCAGTTGCTTTGCAAAAAACGCATGCCTGACCATTTTTTTGTGTTGTTGCTCTTCTCCTCTAGTCCTTTCCCCCACTCTACACGGTTGTTTTTCTCTTACCATTTTAAGGGATGCAAGTACAGTTTTTCTTGAGCTCCTGGAGTAGCAGAACCTTATGGGCTGGTTGGTTAGATGAAGTTGAAAATCACTCACTGGTATCTCTTTCATCAATTGCTGAGAATAACATTTAAAGTGAGGTTTTTCTTTCATTGTTTGTTGGCTAGTTCTCTAACTATTTCTCTCATAAAGCTCCAAAAACCCCTTCTGCCACAGAACATGCTGGTGGATAATGCTGCCTTTCCAACAGAGCACAGGAGCTTTATAGTGAAGAGTTGGAGGGTTGGAGTTATGAAAAACTTCAGTGTTTACAGAACAATTTTGTATAACTTGCCAAACTAATTAGGTATGCTAAGCATAAAGCATGGAGAGTTAAAAATACTAGTTAGCAATTCTTAATCTGATTATTAATTATGATTTCGCCAAAGCTCATATTTCCAATTTGGCATTGTCTTAGAGAAAGATAAAATGCAACAGTACATCTGAGTACATTGGAACATAGATGTAATGTTATGTTAACAACTAATTTAATTTTGAACTTAAAATAACCTTTTATTTCTGAAAAGCTTGGTGCTTGGAAGTACTTATAACTTTCGTCAGTTTGGTTTTTTTTTTGCTTCTGACAATGTATCCTTTTAAAAGGCTTAGTGGTGATGCTGCTAACTGTGAAAGTGGTAGGGGAACAACGTTTATCAAGGACATTCTTACAGGTTCTTTAAGTCACTTACTTGCTATAGAAGACAGGCTAGCAAGGCTGACAAAAAGCTCCTGTCCCCTCTCCCTGCAGTATAAAACAAAGCTAGTTTTCACCCTTTTCTTTTGAAGCATATGGGTTTTAACTCTCATGTGTGTTTTAACATTAATTTTATCCTGCTTCTTCCCTCTGTCATACTGTGGGAACGTTCTGTAGCAGAGGAAAAACTTACAAATTTAAATAACCTACTATGATAAATCCAGAGTTAACATTCTCCGCCTGTAAGGAGGACTTCAGTAAATAACACTGATTTTCTGTGTGTGGAGATGGAGACTAAATGTGTGTTCATGTGCAGCCTAACTTTGGGGCAGTGTTGTATGTTGCGTTCCACGCTGCTTCTTGGTTTGGTGATATGCTTCTTTTCTCACAACGCTGTTCTGATATGTTTGAAGCACTCTAAGTATAATAAAGTGGCTATAGCTAAATAGACATTACGGTGTGGAAGGCTTAGGTACTGAATTTACCTTCTACGTGGCAGGGCGGGAAGGGCAGATCTTACTTCATTTGTGTTCTGATGTCTTGAAAATCTGGTAATAAAAATATAAAACTTTGATCTTTCTCCAGCACAAATCTCACCAGTAGTAAAGGTTTTCCTGGATGCCTAACTTGGCTTTTTCTCATTTTCAACTTAAGCATACTAATTTTAAAAACATCACATCTGGTCTTCTAGATTTGTCTTGTGTTTTTAATGACATGAACATTTCTGTGCCTGCTTTTCACAGTTTGTGAATCTTCAGACTTGAGACTGAGAGAGAGAGATTGCAATTACATCTAGTTTCAGATTTTCAGAGGTGTCAATAAAAAGGATCTGTTCAAGTTAGTGCCATTTTCAGATTCATATTGTCATTTCTGTAGGGAATATGTTCTTGTTTAATTTGTATTGCAACAAGCCTCTGGGACACATTGTCCTTGGCTCGTATTTACCCAAAGTAGTGTTCCGCCTGGAATGGACATCAGATAGCTTGAGCTAAGGAAATGATATATGGTTTGTATGTGGGAAGCTAGATCTGTCTTTGTATAGATCTGGCTTTTGACGTCTGTTAGGAGCTCTTCTGTTTCATAGCATGTGTGGGGAGAAGAGAAAGCAGAGTCCCCTGACTGCCACACAGGCTGGTTCAAGTGCCTGTTTATTTAACTTTGCTTTGTCATAAGATGGGTTACTCAGCAACTTCAAGGTTTTTCTTACCTTGTTTTTCAGAGCCTGGGAAGCAGTAAGCATGTTTCCCCTTGCTTCCATGTGTTTTGGAATTCCAGTTATTTCACTCAAAGCAGTTGTTTTTTTCCTTGAATTTAATAGGCATGGAACATCGCTGCATTACTGTGTGAGACATGCATGGCAGAGGTAGTCAGGCTTTTCCTACACCTGGAGGCTAACCGGGAGAAGGATTAGAAAATAAAAGCTTGCTCTGCCAGGCTGAGGCTTGGTGCAAGTGCTGTGCCTGGAGTAGAAGTGTAAGGAAAACTTCTGGTACCTGAACGGAGGCAGTGTCATGGGGCAGCCAAAGTGGCATTCCCTTAAAATGCAGCGTATCATTATACTGCTAATAGCTCAACTTGGTGACAATTAACTCCTAAGTAATTTGAGTAGTTCATTACAGGCTGCTTGACTGGCTTTTCCTTAGGGGTTTTTAAGTCAGGAATAAGTGGGGGGAAATCAGACTGTCAGGCATGCTGTTAAATGGTGAAGCTAGGCTGGCAAAAGCAGTAACTGCTGTCAGCTTTTCAGATGAGGTAAATTCAGGTGAAATATTCCAGTTACATTTGCGTGTTAAATAATTATGCACTTGATGAAGCAAGGAGCAAAGGTATCTTTTTAGCATCACTTAATGACTTTAAATGGTAATTTATCCTGTGTTTTAATCTGACTTCAACTAACTGTTAGTCGTGGCACCCCATGCTGATGGTAAAAACCTGTTATTGGCAGGTGGAGGAGTTTAGCATGGCAATGATGGTGCAGATTTTTTCATCTGTCCTGTTCAATTTTTGCTTTAACTATGTATGAGAAACATTATCTTCTTATTCCTTGTCTTTGCTGGTGTTCAGAGGCAATACTCAACTTGACCATTTTAGTGTTAAGAACTGGTTTTGGGAACCTAGTGTTGGTTGGAGCAATGTTTTTAATGATGCAGACTTTAAAAGAATCAAATCATTAAGTTCTTAAACTGACAGCACTTACGTATATCGCTTTAAAGAAACACAGTATGTTAATCTCTACAGATGAAGCAGATGCCTTTCATGTGTTTCACGGCACAACATTTTACTGAGCTTCAGGGATGGGATGTTGTGACTCAAAGCACCTACAGCTAGAAGCCCAAGTTCCTTCTATGAACAACGGAGAGAAGCAGTTGTTTTTCAGGGCAGTGCAGAGCAGCTGCGGTGCCTGAGGTGGGAATAATCTTCTGCCTTTAAGATTTGTGAGCCTATAGTCTCCTGGCTTCATTCTAAAGAAGTTAATTCCAACCTTCTATTACCTGACTAAAATAAGAGCTAGATGCAGAGCCAGGTGAATTCTAGATGTTCTGCATTAATGTGTAATTTATTCATGACCTTACTGGTAATCTAGTACATAATGCATTAGTTTCCACCACTTGCTTGTCTTTCTAGCCGGGTTAGGCCCAGGGATGTTTGCTCATGACTCATGTAGTAAGTGCAGCACATTACTTTTTTTGTCTTGCTCTGTCAGCAGCAGTGCTGTTGGGAGTTGGGGACCAGACAAATAAGAGAATAAGAGGAAGTAGGAGAGAATTGTTACAACACCCAGTCTAGCTGAGATGTGCAGAGATGGATCATGTGTGCTTCTTGTTCATACAAATGTAAAATGCATGGTTTAACCTCTATAGGTCAAAAGTTCTTCAATACTCATACAAATGCTACTGAAATCATGGTGGATCTGCCTGCAAACTCATTTATTTTTCCTCTGGCTGAGTCAGGGTAATGGCAGAACTCATAGCATCTTTTGGCAGTTGCTCCCATTGACTAAACTACTGGACTGTGTTGCTCCACCTTTCTGCTTTTGTCTTAGTAGTGGGCTGCTGTTAGTGAGGGATTGCATCTCTTACCTTTGGGTTCAGGCATGATGCCTCATCTCCCCAAGGTCCTTTCACCTGTGCGGGCTCTGAGCTATAAGCTTCCTTTAAACAGTCAGACTTTTAGAATAAACTGCTATTCAATGAATTGATACCGACGTGGAAAGCATGAGTATGTTGGAGGATGCTAAACAGTGGGAGTTAGGATGTGTCATTGATGCACAATCAAATATGGTATTGGAAGTAAAATTAATAAATGGCATGCTAAATGAAGCAACAAATTTGGATAAGCTTTGAATATGCAACAGATTCATATGTGATTTTTCAGAGTGCACATCTGTCCTGGTTTCAGCCAGGATGGAG